GACTTACTTACTTACTGACTTACTTACTTACTGACTTACTTACTTACTGACTTACTTACTTACTTATTTGGCGTGCAAATTCTTTGATTATGTCCAAAATTTTGGCTATTGTATTTGGGCGGGATTACAACCCAAAAATTGCAGAAACAAAAAGTCAGGACTCAACAAAAAGCTGAAGCGGCAGTAAAAGAATGATCACAAGCAAAATCTACAAGAAGTCTCGAAGAAAAAAAACAAATATTAAGAGCTTACCAAACACAATGCATAGAGACTGGACAAATGAAACGGTATATAAAGAGACACTAACGGACTGGAGATGAAAAACACCTGGGGGAAAGACAATAAGGCTCAGGTGAGAGTGGGCAGGACAGGAGCTGGAACTGAACAACTAATGAAGGGTAGAAAATGGATGGCACATGGGGGGAGTGAAAGCAGGAGTCATCAAAAACTACAAGACTGAAGCAAAACACAAAATAATATCTAAACACATACACACGTACATAACACAGGAAACGATAAAGCACATGAATCATTAGAAATAGTCAAACGAAAAAGGAGCCTAAACCAGAATCTAACACATGATAACAATAGGACCTTTCACAGATACAAAATCACAAAGTCTTTCACAATAAAAGCAAGAAAAAAATTAAGAACAGACATCAAATGTCTGCATATTAACATCTCAGAAAAGTACAACTAAAACAGGTTATAGAAGACACATAACAACTGTAACAATTAGCAAAAGCCTGTTTATAAAAGAATGTTTTCAGATGATTTTTTTCCCCAATGCTTCCATGTAGGGTTTGTAAAGACTGGAGCAGTGCGTTCCACAGTCAGTGTGCAGCTGCTTGGAAGGAGCAATCTCCTAAAGTTCAAACGAAGCTTTGCTTTGCCTGGTTCACACGGCAAGATTTAAAAAATATCCGTTGATTTTCTAAATCTAAGAGCACCCACACATGATTTAAAAAAATCCTGGACATAATAGGTTTGGTCGTACAGGGTGTGGTGTACAGCCACATGGCAAAGACAGCACACTACACACAAACACATTTCCCCCACATATATTCATATGTCCGACAGGAAATCTCGCAAAATCTCTCGAGATCAAACGTGAGAAAAAAGTAAATAAACATGGCAAACAAGGAAGAAGCAACTACAGCTAGGAAAACAAAACAAAAAGATGTTCCCCACGTCCACCGGACTCTCTGTTGAGCCCTGGCATGTCTTTAGATGACTGTCTGCGTCTCCATCGCCTCACTTTCTGATTGGCTACACGTCACATTCAACGGGCTGCGCGGTCATTTGTCCTCACCACACATGTTGGGATATCGGGCCAAGACAATGTAACATGTTGCACATCCTCAATTTGAGGTTGGAGCAGTCCTGACAAATTTCTGAGCTGACTAGATCCCTCGTAACACACCACACACAGCAGGAAAACCTCCTGAGACTAACTTTGGAGCTATCACGATAAACGAGGCGTCCTTAAAGGTATCCCCGATTAGTTGTAACATTAGACTTTATATGATAAACATATATTTTAACTGTAAAATAAAGAATGTAAAAATACTGTAGGATGTTCAGTTTTTATCATTTTTAAACTAAAAGTTTAAAAATATATTACATGGACGGGACCATTTTATTTACAAGCAAAGCATTCTGGGTAAATGATGACATCAACTAGGTCATTGGCATGAGGCTGCTAGCGAGCTATATCCACCCTGAAGGTTAATCTTGGACAATATCTGACGATTGACTCTTTTAAATGAAACCAGAGAGCGTTGACAGAGAGGAGAAGGTAGAAATGACTCAGCCTGTAACTGAAAATATAGATGGAGGACAACAGAGCTGCTTCATGGAAGAAGAACCCCAGCTTAGCCTGTTAGCTTTAGCGTTAGCCCCAACGCTATCACCACATATATGTATTAGCTCAGCGCTACACATTCTCCTCTCATCACTGAGGTCCTCCATCCACATGACAGAGAGGAGAACACACAAATGACTCAGTCTGCAACTGAAAATATGGATGGAGGACCTCAGTTTAGCTTGTTTGTCACGCTAGCGCCGAGCTAATACATATAAGGCAATATAGCGTGAGGGATAGTGCGAAGGCTAACAGGCTAAGCTGAGGTTCTTCTTCCATGAAGCAGCTCTGTTTTCCTCCATCTATATTTTCAGTTCCAGGCTGAGTCATTTCTACCTTCTCCTCTCTGTCAATGCTCTCTGGTTTCATTTAAAAGAGCCAATCGTCAGATAAATCCAAGCTTAACCTTCAGGGTGGGTATATCTCCCTAGCAGCCTTGTACCAATGACCTAGTTGATGTCATCATTTACCCAGAATGCTTTGCGTGTAAATAAAATGGCTCCGTCCGTGTTAAAATATATTTAAAAAAATTACAAACTAAACAGCCTACAGTATGTTACAGTTTTTATTTTACAGTTAAAATAAATGTTTATCAAACAAGGTTTAATGTTACAACTAATCGTGGATCCCTTTAAGACTGGGCAAAATCGTGTCAAAAATCAGCACAATTATCTTGCTGTGTGAGTCAAGCATAAGGTCACTAAGAAATCTTGCAAACAGATATTTTGCAAACCCCTTTCATGTCATTGACAATTTGTGACAAACAGTCGCAGCCTAGTGGAATAATTTCAAGTAGTGTAAATTTGTTAGGTTGGAATGGAAATGAAAAGTGTCAAAATAAGCTAAAGACTGGCACACCAAGGGTTTTGTATTGTCTGCTATAAATGTTGTTAGGTTGCAGTCAGACTATAGCAGAGCCACTGTGAGCAAGTGCTAAAGATTTATAGTTGCAGATACAAAAGGTTTTGATTAGCGCTGGTGGAGAAACTTAGAAGTGATTGAAAATAACAGCAGAAATCCAGTTGTTCAGGCCTTGAGGTTGAGGTCTGGCTGCGAGGGTGTTAACTGTAATCAAACACAGTGAAACAAAGGTTACACACACACAGGTGGATGTGGAGCTTGTTTATTTTTAACGCTCTTTTGAAATAAGGTGGTAGCTGCAAGAAAAATAAGAACTAACCCCAGACAAAAGCTTTGATTTGCCCCTTGATTATACCTTACAGCTGTAAGCATGGTGGGCGTGGGAAGTCGGACTCAGCGCTTCTTGCCTCAGAATCAAAACAGAAAGAAACTCAAGAGTTGGAGCAGAGTGGCGCCCCAAATAAAGGGCTGGACCCTTGAAGTTCAGAAACTGCAGGTGGTGGAACTGAAGGCCACAGAGACGTGACAACCTGGATGAAACGCAAATTGCAACAAAGGCAAAGGCTGCACAGAAAAACAGACTGATTGACAGAAGAACATTGGATCGCTTTAAACTGGTCTTAGGAAGTGATTGTTTATAAAGGATGAGGAAAAACTATCCTGAACGAAGGCAGTGATGAGAAAAGTGATGGTGAGAGAAACAGGAAGTAATGAAGCAAAGCCATAGGACAGGAATATCCATTCTTCCTTCAACAAAACCTTTCATAACTTTGGAGATATTTGTGTGATTAATGCATTATGTGTAAGGGATCTGTACTCTGATATCAGTCTGACAAGTGGTGCCCTTAAGGAGCCAGTTCTCAACCCTGGCTTAGACTCCCCCGCCTCAAATCATCAGCTGATTTTCATCCTTCTTGAATTGCTCGCCTAGGCAACTTAAATGATTTTTCATTGTTGTACGGGTCTGTTTTTTGTTTTGTTTTCATGCTGGGTCTGGTGTCTCCAGTGAAGAGTGAAGGTTCTCACTGTTTGTACCAGATTCTCCTGTGAGCTGTGGAGTGTTTTCTTATTCCCCACAGGGCCCCGAAAGGCACAAGGGTCAATGTTATTTATAGACTCCGAGCACAGGGCTGGCATGAGTGCACAGACAAGTGTGATTTCTATTGCTAAATCGCTCAATGTTTTTGTGGCCAATCAGTTGCAAAATGACAAGTGTAAGTGAAACCAGTAGGTTCATGTTTATCCTGTACTTTTGAATCTGAAACTAGTGAAGAGTAAGTAAGCCGAAATAGAAACTAATTAGAGCTAGGCGGTATGACCTCAAATTCATATCACAGTATAAATTGAATCCCTTCATGGTAACAGTATATATCGTGGTAGAAAATTATCATTAAAAGTAAAGATAATATAATTTTTAGAGCTTGTTTTTTGCAGAAAACTAATCTTAATCAAACCCAGCATTTTTGCTTTAATATCAGCCTGCCAAACAATGAGCTTCTGCCTGCTGAACTTATCAGCTGCTGCGCTCTCATCTTCATCGCTGCGTGCTCATCTTCATCATCAGAGCAGAAGCAGACTTTACCATTAGCAAGATGGATTTATGACTGAACGAACGTCCACATCTTTTTTTTAAATAATTTCTGTGGTGGGTAACAATACATAAAAACCTTTTTTTTCTCTGACAACTTGGGTGTGTAAAAACTCCTGTTGTTGTTAAAGCTTCGCTCTGCGCGACGTGCAGCGGGAGGGAGGAAGGAAATAATCCCGATGTAACTTTTTTACAGCGGGATGGGGAAATTTTGAGGATTTATTGTCTTTACGCGTTTTAAAATGCTATAATTTCTTCGTTTTATTTCGAACTCCTCCTGCTCAGTTGTCTCTGCACTCGCAGCCCTGTTGACACAGGTGCGATGACGTAAAGACGACAGGACGGTAGAGGGTAAATTTCTACCGTAGGCCAACTTCATACCATTTCTACCATCTACCGCATAAACCACGCAGCCCTAAAACTGATCTAATCTAACATGCATCATTTTTGGAAAACTTGGAGAAAAGTTATAGGAAAACGTGAAAAGCTCACATTTACACCTTAGACCTGCTGTGAGGCTAGAAATCATCTGTTGTTTGTGAGTTTATCTCACTATGAAAAACAGTGAAGCCCCAACATTTTATCTGCAAATTGTGAAAAATACATGAATATTGGATGCGGCCCAGAAAAGAGGTGTACAGTACATTTGAGGTAGCATTGTAATGCGAAAAGAAACAAACAAAAACACAAAACCAGAGCAAAACCGGTGACAGCTACACGCCACACGGTAAACTGTTAGAAGGCGGGAATGCTGCGCTCCGGGCAGAGAGTGGGCACAGCGGCTCGCGTCATACTGAGATGTATAGTTTGTTTTTTATTGAACTAAATTTATGTTACAAAATTAGTAAAATTATATTGTTCTTAATTATTTAGCTTAAAAACTAATGGGAAAAGCACTACCGTATTTCTGGTTCCATGATATCACAGGGAGTACCGTCAACTACAAGCATTTAGTTTCCAGGAAAAAAAATGCAAAAGATTGAGAAGCACAACTTTGCAGGGCTTTATGTCTGTTGGGCAACCTGTACATGTATTATCTTTTGTAAATAAACTGACAGTCAATAAACTCCTAATCCTAACTTGTCACTTGGCTGTCACAAATAAATATAAGTGACCCATCACATCGAAACGAGGATTAAGTCCAAAAGTGGAATGTGGAGAAACGGGCAGATAGGGTTTTGATTTAAACGTCTGCAAAATTTGCATTTTGTCAAAATATAATGAATTAATGCTTCATCAATGTATCGTTTGAATGAACTGTTTAAAATATAATCCTAAAAAGATTATTTTTGAAACATTTTTTGAGCAGCAGCAACAAAAAACCTGATTTTGAGGAAAAACACCTTCAAATTTTTCAATTTGTCCCTGTGAGGTAGCAAAGTGTTTGTTTCTTTCCAACTGGGAAATCTTAATAAACAAATACTATTTGAGGTTTCCTCTTTATATTAACATCAAAAATGACTCAATAAATTTACATAAAATCAGGATTCAGACCAAACAGTAATGTATTATCGTTACCAACAAGACAAATTAACTCACGTCTCTGGATAATTCAGTTCAATTCAATTCAAAAATACTTTATTGATCCCAGAGGGAAATTAGGTAAGCTTATGATATCAGAATGATCCAGGTATCAAAATGTAGCCTTTAAAGCAGGAATCTGAAAATGTAACTTGGTCATTTTGACCAAATTTGACTTAATCCTCATTTTGATATGATGGGTCTCGTGGTTTTAGCCAACATTAAGACACCACAGTTAACTTGGTTATATGTTTAGGAAAAACCTGCTGGTTTGAAATACAACACAATTTTAGGCTAAATAAAACAAAGTAGCATATTTTGTCACCCTACAGACTTTTTACCCATGTTAACATGAAGACAGGTCCAATCGTAGCGGTGTCAGCTGAATTCTCAGAAGCTTAGAGGAATTTGTAGAACTCTGCTGCACGCTAGAAATGTTGGTAAAGGCTCAGCTTCTGTGTTCAAAAGTGTCTTCTCTCTTCCTTTTCTTTATTTTAAACCACTGATCAGGTTCCCACAATGCTTTAACCTTTGCTTCACCTTTTATTTACCCAGTAAATAAATGCTCTCTAGCATAAGCCTCCCCTCCATCCTCTGAGCATTTGATGTGGCTGCTTAGCAAACATGAGGCATCGGCTCAGAGCCCCGTTGTGTACATGCCGAAATGAGGCGGCCTGCATCTCGTGCCCTGCAGCTCAGCGTGCGCTGAAGATAAAGGAATGTAGAAACTGAGAATATTGCTGAGGAGCTTTTGTTTCATTTCATGCGTGTTGCATGTAATGCCAAATGTGTGCTTACTGGAGCTTTGATGTGGGAAGAACTGATTCAGTTCTACAGATATTTAACTACAGACAACCTTCAGAGTGATGTGCTGTTTACATCAGGCTGCATTTTCTCTGGGTTTTAAATCCTTTTTAGTACAGCACAAATCTTTCTGCTGATCATGCTGTATGCTCCCATGAATTTGGACTGAAATAAAATGTTAGTTCATTTAAATCTTCCATTCCTTTCTTTTGTTCTTCCTCTCAGCTGAGGTTTTGATATCAAAGAGAAAAACAAATGTCCTTGGCCTCACTGTGCCCTCGTTCCTTCATAACTAATTTTTGAAGAGGTTTGCATTTGAAAAAGGTTTTGTATTTTGTGCTGGAGAGCCACTCTCTGTCGTCAGAGATGGCTGAGGAGGAAATGAAATGGGATGCTTAAGTGGTAAATTCACCAACCCAGCTAATGATTTGAATATACAGAGTGGTCCTCTACCCTGGAGATCCTTTAGGTTCACGTGTCTGACCACACAATCCTCAAATAGCTTCTGTGGGTCTTTGTTTAGTTTAAAAAAGATGCTTATTTTAGAGCTAATGCTTAAAATAAAGCCTAATTGTGCTCATTGCTAAAACAGAACATTAAAAAAACTAAAGCTGTACTTTTCCTTTATGTGTTTGACAAAACGAAAAGGAATAGAACTGGATTCAGTTTTTTCTGTAATATTTTTGAATGTATTTAGGCGTCGTTCCTTATAGTAACAATCTGACATTATGAAGACGCTGAAGGGGTCATTAGTGGAGGACTTTTGGTGTTTTGTTCTTTTACCAGTTGTTTGATTCGATTCAGGACACAGAGGCAGCTGTGAGGAAAAGATTATCAGTCAATCAATCAATCAGTTTATTTAACCAGATAGAGCCCATTGAGATCAAGATCTCTTTTCCAAAGGTGACCTGGTCAAGAAAGAGGTCAGCAGCACAAGTCACAGGCTAGTTTACACATTATTGTTGTTGTAAAACATCACTCCTTCATTGTTTACAAAAATGTGTAAAATCTCTTTCTTTTACCTTGGTGGTGAGTCCATCAGGGATTTTACACTGATTTATGAAACAACACAAATTATGAAAGCATCACAGATAAGAAAAACGTGGGGAGAAGAGTCCTAATGTTTTTTTTTTTTTTTTTTTTTTTTTTGTTACAAGAAAATATGTTTCCGTAACCTAATGTTTTTTTTTAGCAATCTTTTTAAACCAGAGGAAGAAGGTATGATGATTGAATTGATTAAAGTTCCAGTGAAATTAAATGAAAATTCTCA